CCCGCTCTCTGGAGCTGGATTCATTGCAAAGAAACATGCAGGCTGGAACCAAGGCCCAGCTGCTCAGTCCCCCACTACTATCTGGCTCCACCGGCTCTACTTCCCCGCCTCTCTCTGGGCGTCGACCTCCTGGATCCAGGCCACAGTGCGGGCTCGGCTCTCCTCCCAGGTGTAGAGGGGCTGGTAGCCGAAGTGGCGCTGGGCCTTGTCCGTCTGCACCGTGAAGGTGGTGCTGGCCACGGCCAGGGTGTAGGGGTTGAGCAGGGGGGCGTAGGAGAAGAAAGGCCGGAGAAGCCGCCGGAGGAGGTTGTTGGCCAGGGCCAGGCAGCGCAGGAGCCAATGGGGCACGACGGGCTGGGAGCCCAGGAGGCGGAAGCCGCAGGAGGCCAGGATCTCCATGTTAAAGTCCTCGTAGCTCTTGTAGGGGGAGGCGTCGTAGCAGAAGTAGACCTGGCCCCCGATGGCCGCCGGGGCATCCTGCATCTGCCGCGCCACCAGCACGTGCATCCAGGCCACGTTGCCTGCAGGGAAGACAAAGGGGGGGGGGTGTCAAACACCCAGCCCTGATCCGCCCTAGGAGGGGGCAGTGCTGAGCTCACCTCCGCCCTCCGCCCCCCCAAAGATCAATCTCCCCTCGTTTGTCCAGGAATTCAATCCCGCGTGTGAGCTGCAGCCACTAGATGGCGACATCGCTCAGACACACACACACCACCCCAATCCTCTCCAGCAGGGGGCAGTGTTACACACACACACAATCCCACCTCCAGACCAAGCCCCATTTTCACAGTCTCCCTGCGTCCACATGCACAAACCACACACCCCTCGCCCCCCACCAAGGAGTATTAGCAGAGCAGGGGGGGGGGGCGGGGCTAGGCTAGTAGGGGGCTGCGGGTCGGGAGTGAGGGGCACCGGGCTGTCACTCACCCACGTAGACCCGGCCGTGCTCGGTGCTGACGGGAATGGCCCGGAGCAGCCTCCGTCCCGTCTGCAGCCCCTTCTCGTAGAATTCCTTCATTAGCGGGTGTTTCTCCCCATAGATCCCTGTGGGGCGCAGGGCGCAGGTCACCAGCCACCGGCCACCCCCCAGCTGTGGGCAGACAGGGGGGGTGAGTGCCCGGATCCCATCCCCTCACTCCCCGGAGGCTGGGTGCTCTGTGTGATGCCGTCCCAGACGCCTGGGTCCCATTCCTGATCACAATCTCTCTTCCCCTCCCCCGCCCCAATGGCTGCAGAGTCCTTAGTGGGCTTGTCCCGGATGCCTGGGTCCCATTTCCTCCCTCCCGTGGGGTTGTGGGGCAGGGAATGCAGAGCTCCACTGGGGTGCTCTCCCTCATCCCAGGGGCGGTGCCAGGGGGCTACTTACAGGCGTCCCATTGGCCTCGATGACCATGCGCTCGGCCTGCGCCTTGCTCAGGGGGTATGGCTGCTCGTGCTGGGCATCGTAGGCCGAGTCCTCATTCCCCCTGCAATGGGCGAGACACAGGGGCTCAGGGGCAGTGCCACTTCCTTCCTGCCTTTCCCCTTTCCAGGATCCCACCGCCCCCACCATCCCTCTGCTCTGAGCTCTGGCAGTCCCCGCCCCCCTCCCCTTAAGCCATTCTGCGATCCCCCCCCCCCCCCTCCCCTGGGCTCCGCCCCCCCCCCCCCCCCCCCCCCCCCCGGTACCCCCCCCCCCCCCGGAACCCCCCAGCCGGCTCCAAGCAATGGAGGGATATTGGAACAACCCCCAGCCAGCGCTGGATGGAACCTGCTGTCCCCAGCCACCCACATCTGGAGGGGCCACGCTGGAGGTGTGTGCAAGCAACAAAAACAAAACCACAGCTGCTTGCCGCCTGAAAAGCTTCAGGATATGGAAACAGGACCCAGGCATCCGGGCTGGCAGAGACCGTAGCCCGGGCAGCGGGGGGGGGGGGGGGGGGCGGGGAGACAAAGATGGGGAATGGGACCCAGGCGTCTGGGACAGCAGTGAAGGGCGTCACAGCTCAACGTGCCCGCTGCCTGCAGTGTGTTTGTTTCATGTGGTGGTTGCCATGGGGCTGGGGTGGGAACCCTGAGGGAAGCCCTGGGTGGGGCTGGAAACAACTGAGGCTGGGTGGGAGCCAGAGACCGCAGGCAGGGAGGGGTGGGGAGTTGTGGAATCCTAGAGTCACAGAACTGGAAGGGACCTCGAAAGGTCGTCTAGTCCAGGGCCCCGCCCTCATGCCAGGATTAAGGATTAGCTAGACCAGTGGTTCCCAAATCGGGGTTCAGGAACCCTTCGGGGTTCTCGAAATGTATCAGGAGGTTCTGAGAAACAATTCGGTAACGGCGGGCGCGGGAGGTGGCAGCCCGAGCCCCGTGACCACGACTTCCTGGCAGAACAAGTTTAAGCTTCATTATAGTCGGGTGACGTTTTCTTAGACTGCTCAGGACCCGAATGCTTGTGGGAGGAACCCTTTCATTGAGCTGGCTTCTTAAATACCTTCCTGCTGTTTTGCATCTGATACTCCCTGATAAAACACGGAGGCGGCTTAATGGAAGTGATAGGAGCTACCGAAGTGAAATCTGGGAAGAGTGTTGCCGTTTTCATAATGTGAGAACATTAATAATGGAATGATCAATAATACTGTAATCACAAATAGTGTGTAATCCGCATACCACATTATTTCCAAGCTCGCTGCTTCTATCATTTATGCTCAGGTAAGGGAGAAAATCCCTGGAAAGATTCATTTTTAGGAGGGGGTTCGCAAGAGTTGATATTTTCGTGAAAGGGGGTTTGCGGGTTGTTAAGGTTTGAGAACCGCTGATCTAGACCATCCCTGACAGGGGTTTGTCCAACCTGCTCTTAAAAATCTCTGATGATGGAGATTCCACAACCTCCCTGGGCAATTTATTCCAGTGTTTAACCACCCTGACAGTTAGGAAGTTTTTCCTAATGTCCAACCTAAACCTCCCTTGCTGCAATTTAAGCCCATTGCTTCTTGTCCTATCCTCAGAGGTTAAGAAGAACAATTCTTTTCCCTCCTCCTTGTAACAACCTTTTATGTACTTGAAAACTGTTCTCATGTCCCCTCTCAGTCTTCTCTTCTCTAAACTAAACAAACCCAATTCTTTCAATCTTCCCTTACAGCTCATGGTTTCTAGACCTTGAATCATTTTTCTTCATCTTCTCTGGACTTTCTCCAATTTGTCCACATCTTTCCTGAAATGTGGCGCCCAGAACTGGACACAATACTCCAGTTGAGGTCTAATCAGCGCGGAGTACAGCAGAAGAATTACTTCTCGTGTCTTGCTTACAACACTCCTACTAATACAGCCCAGAAGGATGTTCGCTTTTTTGCAACAGCGTTACACTGTTGACTCATATTTAACTTGTGATCCACTCTGACCCCCAGATCCCTTTCTGCAGTTCTCCTTCCTAGGCAGTCATTTCCTGTTTTGCACGTGTGCAACTGATTGTTCCTTCCCAAGGATGAGGGCCTTTAACTCCTAGGACGCCTGGGTTCTCTCCCCGGCTCTGAGAGGGGAGTGGAGTCTAGTGGGTTAGAGCAAGGGGGCTGGGAGTCAGGACTCCTGGGTTCTCTCCCTGGCTGTGGGAGGGGAGCGGGGTCCAGTGGTTAGAGCAGGGGGGCTGGGAGCCAGGACTCCTGGGTTCTCTCCCTGGCTGTGGGAGGGGAGCAGGGTCCAGTGGTTAGAGCAGGGGAAGCCAGGCGCCTGGGTACCTGTAGAAGGGATCCCCCTTGGTGTTGGGGCCCACAACCTCCATGCTGCTGGTGTAGATCAGATACTGGGTCCCATGCTCGATGCAGGCGTCAATCACGTTTTTGGTCCCTGGAGGTGGGGGGAGAGGAAAACAAGGGGTTAATCAGGTATCTGAGCACTCCCAACTCTGCCTGGCGGGAGAGCCTTCTCCTCTGCAACCCAACCCCTGCCCCAGGTGCCGGAGCAGCCGGGGAGTGGGGGCTGGGAGCCAGGACTCTACCCTAGCTCTGTACCACAGTTTCCCTTCTGCACCTAAATTCTCCAGCTCTGGAATCATTGGCTGTTACTCAGAAGAGGTGGATCAGGCTCATGTGGGAGCCAGGACATGCCTAGTGGGTCCCTCCGGATTCACTCACCCACCCGGTAGCGTGACTTGTGTTTGGTAAACAGCTGGCAGAGGCATCACCTGCAGCCGCTTCCCTCTTCAGTCCCTTGGCCGCGTGGGAGGGATTTTCCGAAGCTCAGGGCTTTTCCAGCGGAAACCTGGAAGCGGGACAGACGGCCCGAGCCAAGAGCAGCAGAGATCGCTCGGAGGAGCGGGAACGGAGAGGAGACATTCAGGGTTGCAGTCCCAGGCTCAGCCTGAAGGGAGTGTTGGCTGTTGGGGGGAGGGTGTTCCCGGCTACTCCACAGCCAGCAGGGGGCGCTATCGGGAGCGAGGCAGGAACGCTGGCTGCCCGGGGAGAGCGCCCCCGGCCGAGCTCCCTGCAGCAAAGCGCCCCCTAGCGACGTGCGCTGCCCCAGCCACTTCCCGTACCGTGAACGTTCACCTCCGTGATCTTCTCGGGCGGGACCCTGCCCCACACGTCCACCAAGCTGGCTGCGTGGATCACCACGTCCGCCCCCTTCACGGCAGCCCCAACGTCAGTGGGGCTACTGATGTCCCCCAAGATCAGGGTCACCTTCACCTTGTCTGAAACAGAGATACAGAGCCCCGGTGAGAGGGCTTGAAGTGGAGCGGGGGCTTGGAGCCAGGACTCCTGGGTTCTATCCCCGGCTCTGGGAGGGGAGTGGGGTCTAGTGGTTAGAGCAGGGGGGCTGGGAGCCAGGACGCCTGGGTTCTCTCCCGGCTCTGGGAGCGGAGTGGGGTCTAGTGGTTAGAGCGGGGGGGCTGGGAGCCAGGACGCCTGGGTTCTCTCTCGGCTCTGGGAGCAGAGTGGGGTCACTTCTTTTACTGGTATCTTGACTGTCACCGATCCTCTTTCCTGCCAGCTGGGCGGGGTGTCACCTGGCTCCCTTCCAGTGCCAGCCCCGCCCCACATTCCTGTCTGGCCCCTCCTAACCCGTGCGTATCTCTCCCTCCCGGCCTTCCAGCTGCTTCCTCGGCCTTCACGGGAAGGAGCTGTTCCTCCGGACCACACCACATTGTCTGATAGAAACCAACAGATGGAAACAGACAGTGGCACATCCTCCAGCAGAGAGGATATCACGCAAACACGGGAGTTTTGGGAAATGGGACACGGGCCCTTTCCCCGCTAGGGGGCGCCAGCTCCCATCCCGCCCCAGGGTGGGGACTGGCTGGCTCAGGGGGGCAGGGAATGGGGCACAGGGCCTTTCCCCTCTAGGGGGCGCTGGCTCCGATCTGGCCCCAGGGTGGGGACTGGCTGGCTCAGGAGGCTTGGGGGGTGGATCCGAGGCCCAGATGAAAGGTGATTTCTCAACTATCTTTTCGCAGAAAAACTCGGATTCCCTGTTTAATTGGCTCCAGTCAGGAATGCAGTGGAAACTCTCCAGGCATCTAGAACCGGAGCAGTGATTAATTTATCCCATGGAGCAAAGCAGCTTTGAAAGCCAGTTTCTTCCAATGAAAGTTGCCTAATAAATAGCCCTGCCGGTGCCCCTCACTCCCGACTCGCAGCCCCCTGCCAGCCCAGCCCTGCCCCCCCAGCTCTGCCGGTGCCCCTCACTCCCGACCCGCAGCCCCCTGCCAGCCCAGCCCTGCCCCCCCAGCTCTGCCAGTGCCCCCCACTCCCGACCCGCAGCCCCTGCCAGCCCAGCCCTGGTCTGCACCCCTATTTCTGCTGGTGCTCCCCTACCAGCTCTATCTCTTTGGACAGGGAATGGCGGGCACAGAATTCCAGTTAAAGGTCACGGCTGGGTTATGCTGGGCTGTTGCCAAGATGAACAAATCCAGGGCCTGGCCAAAGACATAAATGTCGGGGCCCAGCCAGCTCAGGATCTCTTCAATTCTGCTCCTGCCTCCAGCTCCCTAACAGCGTCTGGGGGCCGTTCCCGTGCGGGAGCAGCTCTCAGATGGGTCAGGCACCAGGCAAGAGCCGACCACACAGCGTGGGTGCTGCTGGAAACCAAATAGACTCTCATTCCATGTGCGCTAGCCACCAGCCCCCACTCCGCTCCCAGAGCTGGGAGAGAACCCAGGAGTCCTGGCTCCCAGCCCCTCCTGCTCTAACCACTAGCCCCCACTCCTCTCCCGGAGCTGGGAGAGAACCCAGGAGACCTGGCTCCCAGCCCGCCCTGCTCTAACCCACTAGACCCCACTCCTCTCCCAGAGCTGGGAGAGAACCCAGGAGTCCTGACTCCCAGCCCCTCCTGCTCTAACCACTAGCCCCCACTCCCTTCCTGGAGCTGGGAGAGAACCCAGGAGTCTTGGGTCCCAGCCCCTCCTGCTCTAACCACTAGCGCCCACTCCCCTCCCAGAGCTGTGAGAGAACCCAGGAGTCCTGGCTCCCAGCCCCTCCTGCTCTGACCACTAGACCCCACTCCTCTCCCAGAGCTGGGAGAGAACCCAGGAGTCCTGGCTCCCAGCCCCTCCTGCTCTAACCACTAGACCTCGCTCCCCTCCCAGAGCTGGGAGAGAACCCAGGAGTCCTGGGGACTAGTGATGAGCACTCTGGGGCTGGGAGTCAGGACTCCTGGGTTCATACCGGCACTGATGAGTAACTGACGCGCACACATACACAGTACGTGACTTCGCGCACACAAAACACAGACACACACACCCATTGTCCTGGGTTGAACCACAGAGGCAGCAGCTAGAGATACGGCCCCTCTGATCCCTCCCGCCGGGGCTGTGCCCCCGCCCCCACACACACACACACTCTGAGATCACGTCTGCATGCCGAGCCCTCAGATAGGAGCTGGGGCTGGGATGACAAAACGTTACTTCCTTCAGCGTGAGTGTGTCTGTGTCCACACGCACTTCCCCCTGCTGGAGGGAATCGGGGCCACGTGGGTGGGAGACAAAGGGGGAATGGTCTATAATATTTGTATGACAACCCCCCCCCCCCCATGCGTGCCTCAGTTTTCCTCTGTACTTTGCATGGCTGCCCAGGGCGGGGGGGACAAAAGGGTTAACGCTGCTGGTGGAACAGCACAGGAGACGGGGTGGGGAGGGGGAGGACGCCTGGCTGTCTCGGAGGCACTACGGGACGGATTGAAACGGACCCAGATCAACAAGGGTCCGGAGAGACAACCTCAGCTCCAAGGATTCTCAACAGCGGGAAGCTCAGGCGGATTGGGGCGGGGGGGTGAACTCAGCCTGGCCCTGCCTGGAGAATGAGGCCTGAGCTGGGACCGGCAGAGGATAAAGTTGGACTCGCCGGGCAGGGCTCGAGGGGCGAAGCAGGGGGGCTGGAGCCCAGACACTCAGTCTCAAAGGCGGGGAGGCTGCAGGGCTGCCCCTGAAGGAAGAGTGGGACCCCTCGGGGGTCCGGCCCACTTACAGGGCGTAACACCTGTCCTGTGTCTCCGGGACAGGTGGTGGCAGTGGTGGGATCCACAATGCACCAGGAGCATTTGGCAAGAAGTGAATTGCGGGCGGTTAAAACAAAGTCAAAGGAAACGACAGGAGAATGGTGCCTAAGCCCCGCTCTCGCCCGGACAGGGAGCAAGGGGTGAGTGCTGGGAGCTCCAGGATCTGGAGAAGGGAAGGTGCAAGAGGTCCCAAAGAGGGGTAACTGGGGAAAGGCCCTGGGATGCCCATTCCGCAGGAAGCCAAGATACCAAATCATTGCCCCAGTTTACGGGGGTCGGGGGGGCAGAGATGCCAACCTCACGGCCGGTGAGAAGTCCTGCCCCTTGAACCCGGTCGGCCTTGCGGCCCGGCCCCTCCCTCGCGCCCCCTCCTCGGTCCCAGAGCGAGAACAGCAGCCAGCCGGGGAAGATCCCAATGGCCCCACTGCTGCTGTCTGAATTCACCCCTTATAGGAAAAGGCCTCGGGGTGTTCAGAGGACTCAGGGTGTGACGCACACACCCCGCCCTGGCAGGAGAATATCTCCACAAGCTCACGCCACTGGAGGCTTCGTTTAATCCGGCCGGGTTGGAGCGACTCTCGGAGAGCCATCCCCACGAGCGTAAAACGTGGCTGGACAGGAAGCCGGGGGAGCCGCCTAGCACGGGCCGGTTGGCAGACGAGTTTGCAGAGAGTAAGCTGAAGGGGAGAGGGCCAGGTCGGGGGTCACACGTGGGCACCCCACAAGCGGGCTTTGAGTCAATCCAAACCAGGGGTGACAGCCCACCCGGGCAGACCTCCTGCAACGCATCTCGTGGGGAGGTGCAACATTTCTAGGAAAACAAGGCACAGGTGCCCAATGAAATCAGGTTTCCCTGGGACGGAGGCGATCTCTCATCCACCGCCCAGCCGGGGAGGGCCCAGAGAGCAAACTCTGGGGGGAAAGCTATCGCCCAGCCAGACCCCTTGGGGGCAGGGAGGTGGTGACAGACACGATCCCACCGCAGGCACCATCTCCTGTTGGACTCCCCTGGACTCAGACTCCTGTGGTCCCCAGTAGGATCAATGGTCAATGGGGAGACCTCCATGGGGTGGAGAGATTCTGGGATGGAGGGAAACCTGGCTTGATAATGGCATAGAGAGAACACTTATAAAGTTTGCGGACGATACCAAGCTGGGAGGGGTTGCAAGTGCTTTGGAGGATAGGATTAAAATTCAAAATGCTCTGGACAAACTGGAGAAATGGTCTGAAGTCAATGGGATGAAATTCAATCAGGACAAATGCAAAGTACTCCACTTAGGAAGGAACAATCAGTTGCACACGTGCAAAATAGGAAATGACTGCCTAGGAAGGAGAACTGCAGAAAGGATCTAGGGGTCATAGTGGATCACAAGTTAAATATGAGTCAACAGTGTAACGCTGTTGCAAAAAAAGCAAACATCGTTCTGGGATGTATTAACAGGAGTGTTGTGAGCAAGACAGGAGAAGTCATTCTTCTGCTCTACTCCGCGCTGATTAGGCCTCAACTGGAGTATTGTGTCCAGTTCTGGGCGCCACATTTCAGGAAGGATGTGGACAAATTGAAGAAAGTCCAGAGAAGAGCAACAAAAATTATTCAAGGTCTAGAAAACATGAGCTGTGAGAGAAGATCGAAAAAACTGGGTTTGTTTAGTCTGGAGAAGAGAAGACTGAGAGGGGACATGAGAACCGGTTTCAAGTATGTAAAAGGTTGTTACAAGGAGGAAGGAGAAGAATTGTTCTCGTTAACCTCTAAGGATAGAACAAGAAGCAATGGGCTTAAACTGCAGCAAGGGAGGTTTAGGTTGGACATTAGGAAAAACTCCTAACTGTCAGGGAGGGTAGGCACTGGAATAAATTGCCCAGGGAGGTGGTGGAATCTCCATCATTGGAGATTTTTAAGAGCAGGTTGGACAAACACCTGTCAGGGCTGGTCTAGATAATACTTAGTCCCATGAGGGCAGGGGATGGGACTAGACGACCTCTCGAGGTCCCTTCCAGTCCTGTGATTCTATGTTCCAACCCCCGCAAACACTGCAGGGCCGTGGGACCCGGGATAAGGGCCCAGGTACAGAGTTATTTGCCCCACTGATGGCTCAGATCCCTGGGCAGACACGGGCCGGCTCGGGACGGGGGGGGGGGTATTCCCCAGCTTGGACGCCCTCCTCGGGAAGGACAGCGGCACTTCGAGGCACAAGTCAGGCCCCACGGCCGCGAGCTCAAACCACGGCTCCGAGCGGAGGCGTCACTGAAAGTGGAAACAGCTGAACTAGCAGGGAACGGACGGTTCCTCCCGCGGCTTCGCCTCTAGCTCAGAGGAGCCTCAGGACGCCGTCAGCGAGGCCGGCACGTGAGCTGGACCGAGCCCCAGCCAGCTCCGCACGGGAGACGTGAGTCATGCGGGCGTGCCTGCAGCTCACGGCTGTGACGCGGGGAGCCAGCTCCCGGCGGGACGGCCGAGCCCAGTGGGGTCTGAGCCCCCGGCGGGGCGTGGGGGGAGACGCGGGCAGGGAGAAGCCCCAAGGAAGGGGAAAGCAGCCGAGAGGCGGTGGCTGGTCACAGAGACACCTGCTCAGAGCGCGACACGGCCCCCGGTGGGTTCCCTTAACCAATCACAGCCCCCCGGCGTGGGAGGGTGGAGAGGACTCTGCCCTGGGGGTGAGGGCAATGGGGTCCTTGCATGCACACAGCCCCCGAGGGGACCTGCCAATGTCGGGGAGCGCCCTGCGCCCCTGGCCAGCAAAGCCCCAGGGACAGACCTACGCTGCTCAAGGGGTCCCTCCCTCCCTTGCCCACAGCTTAGGGGGACGGGCACCCCACGGCAGCCGAGCCATGGGGGGAAGGAGGGTCCCCTGCCCCCCTCGCCAATGAGGGGAAGGGGTCATGGCAGGACCCAGCCCACTTTCACACCCAAAGGTTTCAGGGTGGCAGATGGGTGCTGGGGGAGGGGAGGCCTTAAAAACTCCCCCCCCCCCCCCAGACACCCGGTCTGCGTCATCTAACGGAGCAGCCCTACGGGGGGGATGGGAACCTGCGCCGCGTGTCGGCCCCTGAGCTCGATGGATAAGAAACGGAGCTGGGAGGATCTGAAGGTGGCTAGCAGATAACGCGGGCGAGTCTGAACTCCCCCAGAATACGGGCTAACACGCCCCTGCTTGGCTCGGCCTCTGAGGGGTAGAGGAAGGAGGAAGGGGGGATTTCTTGTAATTTTTTCCAGAAGCCCACGCCTGCCTCAGTTTCCCTCTGTACTTTTCACGGCTGCCCTGGAGGGGAGGAGAAGGGTTAACGCTGCTGCTGGAGCAGTGAGAGCCGTTAAGGGACTGGTGGAGATTGACGTAGATCTAGAGAGACAACGCCAGCTCCAAGCCTGGTTGGACTCGCCGGGCAGAGCTCAAGGGGCGAAGCGGGGTGGGGGGATTGGAGCCCCACAGCTCAGTCTAGGAGGTGGGGAGCCCACGGGGCCGACCCTGAAGGCAGAAGGGGGGTCCCTTGGGGGTCTGGCCTACTGGCGGGGTTCCTCCAAGGGACTAGGGTACGGCCTCGTGACTGTCTGGGGGCGTGCCGCCCTGCCCCCTACTGGAGGGAATCGGGGGGGGGGGGGGAAAGGAGGGCACGCCTCACCTGTCCCCAGCTGCCGCAGGGCCGGATCCAGCTGCAGATCGAAGACGCGCACCTCGGCCACGTTGGGCGACCGCTCCACCAGCATCCGCACCAGATGGGAGCCCAGGAACCCGCAGCCGCCCGTCACCAGATAGACCTGCCGGGCCCGGCCCCACTCCATCAGGCCCTACAGGGAGAAGGGAGACAGGCTGGGGGTTAGGCCAGGGGTGTGGGCGCCGGGGAGGAGCTCAGGCCGCGCATGTGTGTGCGGGGGGGGGGTGAAGAGGGGGTTTGCATACCAATCCTTTCTCTCTGCCCTGGACGCCTGCTTCCCGTCCCCCTCGCTCCCTGGGAGATGCGAGGCCCTCTCGAGATGAACCCCCAGCACTGTGGTCCCGGACTCCTGGGTCCCAGCCCTGCCACATCCCGAGCCCTCCCGCCCCCGAAAGGCCTGGGCCAGATGTCCCCACCCAGGCCCAGACTGAATGACCCCTCTGTGGCAGGTGCCGACTCCCAGGGCTACAATTTACGGCTTTGCTACCCCGGATGCCTGGGTTCCTCCCTCAGGGTTGTGGCTTGTGGGAACTGTGAGCAGACTGGAGAGCAATTTCCTCTCTGACAAAAGGAAAGACAAAGGAAGCCTGTGTGTTCATGAGCCTTTGTCAGTCGCCAGGAAGCAAAGCCGCCCTTGAATTTACAACTGGCCAAACCACTCTCCGCATCACAATGAACAACAGGCGAGGACAAGCGGCTGCGGGGCAGGGCACCTAGCGAACAGCTGCACAGCAATGCTGGCTGTACAGGGACGCTGAGATGCAGCCACTTCTGGGGCGGGGCAGCTGGGGAACAGCCGCACAACGCCAAACAGGGACGGTTCACCTGGCACAGAGATGCAGCCACCTTGGGGCGGGGGGCAGCTGTAAGGACTGGGGGGCTCGGTAGGGGGCACTCTCCCCTGGCAATCAGGGCTGATCCTAGTGCCCAGGGCATCACTAGGGGGCGCTGTGCTGCAGGGAGCGGGATGGGATCAGCAGGGGGCTCTCTCCCCTGGCAGCCAGGGCTGGCCCCAGTGCGGCGCTGTGCTGCAGGGAGCAGGGATCAGTAGGGGGCGCTCTCCCCTGGCAGCCAGGGCTGGCCGCGCTGTGGTGTCTCTCAGCCGCATGTGTTATTGTTGAGTTTTTATATTGCATTAGCGCCTTAAAGCTACAACACGGCGGGGCCCCGTGGTGCCGGGCGCTGCCCAGACCCACAGCAGGAGCCGGTCCCTGCCCCGAAGGGCTCACAGTCTAACCGGACAAAGGCAGGAACATTCTCCCCCTTTCACAGCTGGGGAAACTGAGGCTCAGAGAGACCCAGGACTTGCGCCAGGGGCCACAGGGAGTCTATGGCAGAGCCAGAGATAGAACCCAGGAGTCCTTACTCCCAGCCCCTCCTCTAACCACTAGACCCCACTCCCCTCCCAGAGCCAGGGAGAGAACCCAGGAGTCCGGATCACCCAGCCCAGCACCCTAAGCACAGCTCAGTTACGGTCTCGATTTCCCAGCAACAGGAAGGCCAGTAAATGAGGGAAACCTGCTTAGGAGAGGGAAATGACAGGGATTGTTTCGTGCTTCCCTGACGCAGGAGAAATTGTCCACCCCCCAAGGAGCCCAGCCAGCCAGGGTCTGCGCTCGGGAAGTGACTGGATGCTGCATGCCAGCCATTCCCCCTTTGAGGACAGAACCCAGGAGTCCTGGCTCCCAGCCCCACCTGTATTCCACCTCACCTCCCAGAACAAAGACTAGAACCCAGGAGTCCTGGCTCCCCGCTCACCTGTTCTAACCCACTAGACCCCCCTCCCCTGCCCTGCCCGAGCTGGGGATAGAACCCAGGAGTCCTGGCTCCCGCTGCTCTAACCCACTAACCTCACATGGTGGGAGGGGAGTGCACACCTGCTCTGACGGTTGGCAGCAGGGCACCCAGCCAGCTGAGTTGTTTGGATTTAATGGCTGGAAATCATTGCTGGGGGTGTCCACGGATCACCGCACACTAACTCAGACTTCAGGCGGTTGACAGGGAGGGATCCACCCCCTCTGGCACTTCAAAACTCATTGCAAGCCCCGGGGTTATGGGGGGGGGGCACCGGCACAGCTGGGGGGGCCACACAGGTCGGGAGGGAGGGGCACTGGCAGAGCTGAGAGCGGACGGGGTGGATTCTGGCCCAGATCGGCCCATGGGCCCAGCCCGGTGTCCCGTCTTCTGGAGACAGAAGAGGTTAGATCCATCTCGTTCCATGGGCCCAGTCCGGCCGGACGTCCCCACAGCACGCCCGCCGAAAGCCGGGGCTGCACCGCGCCAGGTCGCGCTGATGCCCCCGAGACTAGGTGGCCAGGTGTTGGCGGTTCTCCGGCCGCCTTCCGGCAGGGAGCGAGACACTTCGCAGCCCTGCTTCGGAAACCTTGACTCATTACCCAGGGCGGGGCAGCCGGACGTGGGCACACGACGACCAGACGGAGCCGGTCTTGTGAGCCCTCTGTTCTTGGCAAAAATCACAGGTAAATGGCACCTGAGCTCAACTCCCGGCAGCACAGCGCCCCCTAGTGCCACCCTGGGGCATTGGGGCCAGCCCTGAC